TATTGAGAAGGAAGATAGAATTGTTTGTTAATAGAAAATTAGTTTTAGTTCATGATAAAATGAAGAATAGGTTAGAAGGGAAAAATTGCCAATTTAGTTTAGTTAAAAATCTCTTTAAATTGAAACCATCTTGCTATGGTTTTACCAGCTAGCTTGGTGCAGCTCTCCGATACGGGCAATAGCCTTAACCGATGAGGCAGACCGCATTTAGGCTCCCATAGAGAAAGCCGAGTGATGTCGGATCTATAACTTAGATAGTATATAGTGTAACTGTACATTAGCTTTGATTTAATAAAGATACCGGCAAGGCTGCCAATAAATAAAAAAAAAAAAAAAAAAATTATACATATATTCTAATTATTGTTATACATATTAATCATCACATTACTGCATTACATACTGTACAATAAAGCATTAACATTATATAGAAAAACCAAAATATTTTTACTATACAGTGCATACTTACTAGCAACACTATTTTTTGTCAAGCTTTATATTATCATATTAAAATAATATGAAAAATAACTAAGAATTATTAAAATTTATACATTAATTTAGCTAATAATATATACAAATAGTTCAGTTTAGTAATGTGATTGATTATTTATCATAATTTATCACAGTGATATTCTTAAAAATTATGCATTTAGATAAATTTTCCTATATAAGCTATAATATATAAAGATACTTAGATTTGGAGCAATGTGATGAGTCTTACACTAGTATAAGACATTTTGTTATAAAAAATTTCACTATAACTTATATCAAGAGTTTACTATTTAACATAATTATATAAAGCAAAATTTTATTAATAATGATTCTGGTCTAAAAAAATTTTTCACTAAAAGCCAACCTTTACTGTATCGAAGGTTTACTACGTATAATAAGAGTGACTTGTACTTATTCGTAGTTTTATTTTTTTTAAAAAGTACTTACTATAAACTGTATAAATAATGTAAAATTAAATTGATTTAAACAGCCAATCATACGAAAGTCTTCCTATGGGATGTAATTACATCCGAATCAAAAATTTTATCACTGCTGAATCAAAGCTTATCGAATCGGCAAATATTCGGTCGGTCAATTTTTGCCAGATTTTCCAGAATTTATAAAGTTGTAAATAAGATTTTTACTACAAATAACCGGTAGTGATCATCACTTTTATTTTTTATTTTTAAGGTTAGAGTATAGATATATATCAAGATTCAAGTTTAGTTAGAGTTAGGTTTTTTGGAATTCTAAACATTCTTGATTAGTACCCCTAATGTAAATTAGCTATATAGTAGGTTTTTGAAATATAGAATCTAATATTTTTTGCGATTATCGATTAAAATCATGTGTAACAATGTAAAAAATTTTGATAATCAGTCAATGAAGCAAAAATACCATTCTTGATTGATAGGTACTGTAGAAAAAAAAAATTACTTTACATACCATTCTTGATAGAGTTCTAAAAAAAGGATCTCTAAAATGCTATACGTACTACTACAGCAAAGTATATTAAATGTCGGGGATGAAGCTTGGAATCGGATGATGCTTAGAATTTGAATTATTTTAATATAAGATTTTAAACGAATTTTTTGGCTTTTTTTTTAAAGTTAGGTTATAATTTAGGGTTAGAGTTTGTAATAAAAGAGTATATGCGGATTTTAGTAGGGTTTATATTTTTAAATTGGGACCCAAATTCTCAGCATCATCCAATTCCAAGCTTCATCCCCGGCATTAAATTCTATCAATTTCAGTACTGCCGATCCATCAAGAATAGCATTTTTGCGAATCTATCTCACGTTCAAACATGTGATGATATATACTATATGAAAATTTTTTTTTTTGAATCTAACGCTAATGTCGGAGACTTCAGCAAATTCATCAAATTCAGCGGGAGTTACTGCGCCTTGTCCAGTGAACCACTCTTCATGGCCTTCTATCTCTGCACCTAAAAATGAAGGCTGTTCGAGTGACGCCTTAAATAATTATAACAAACAACTTCATTCCGACCAAAAATCATTGGGTCAACATATTCCACTTGATACAACGCGTCAGATATCTGGCATTCCACGTTCATTCCCTGATAGTGATAAAAATAAATCTAAAGAAGTAATAGAGAATTGGATATATCCTTCAGAGCAAATGTTTTTCAATGCAATGAAACGCAAAGACTGGAATCCTCGAGAAGAAGATATGCGCGTTATTGTACCAATACATAATGCAGTGAATGAGAAAGCCTGGAAAGAAATATTAGAATGGGAAAAATTGCACGAAAAGTAAGTTATGAATCCGTGATACAGATCTTCTAATGAAGTAGATTTGTCTATCTGGCGCACACGATTAATTATCACATATTGATAAAGTCACTGTGGTGGACCGAAATTGGTAAAGTTTCAAGGTAAAGCAAAAAATATTACCCCAAAAGCCAGATTGTTCAGTTTATTAGGGTATGTCAGTTTATTAAATATTAGATTTATTATTAGGATGTTCATTGTTTGACATTTACACGTTTTCGATTAATCATGTTTTATGAAACAAGTTATAAGCTGCCTTTTGATAGACATGATTGGGTAGTGGACCGATGTGGTAAAAAAATTACGTATGTTATTGATTTTTATTCTGGACAACCAGACCCAAAGCTTCCACATTCCGTGAGCTTTTATTTGGACGTTCGTCCAGCTTTTACTTTGGATGGAGCGATTGACAGATTCCGAAGATGGATGTCTTTATTTATGGAAAGAAACAATCAATCTGGAGGGAAATGTATGTATAAAAGCGGATTTACACATAATGGTGTATAATAACATTATCATTTATTATATTTATCAAATAACAGAAATGCATTTGGGCCAAAAGTATTGATTAAGTTTCTATATATACGTATTTATGGTAAAACTATATACTTTTGCAAATGGCTTGGAATGGCATCCAAAAGATTTTTACTTTCTAACCATTTTCGACCTGCAATGATAGTCATGATGAGTAGGGTGAACAAACAAATGTCGTCAATTATAACTTCATGAATGTAATCCTTTATACTTACTAAATAATCGTGACTGATATCTATAAGCACCATCACATAGGATTGTGACAATTTTTTTGCCTAAATGATCAAACCGAATGTATTAAATATATTAACATAAAGTTATGATTTAATAGACCATAATAACAAATAAATAAACCAAATAAATTAATAACCTGGCCCCAATTTCTTTGCCATTTCTACAGCCGCAACAACATTTAATGCTGTTGATGCACCGATATAGAGACCCTCTTCATCCAATAATCTATATACCATCTCAATTGATTTTTCATCTGAGATATACAATGCATCATCTATCAAATCCACTTCACCAGCAAGGTTATCGGTAACACGACCTTGTCCAATACCTTCAGTAATTGAACTTCCGGAGCGTTCCATCAATTTACCACCGCTCTTAAAATATGCGTATAAAACGGAGCCTGGTGGATCAGCAATAAATACTTTGATGTTGGGATTTTTCTCTTTTAGAAAGCGAGTCACGCCAGCGAGAGTTCCACCAGTACCAGTAGCACATGTAAATCCATCAACCTGACCGTTAGTTTGTTCCCAAATTTCTGGGCCAGTGGTTTCAATGTGTGCACGTCGATTTGCAGTATTATCAAACTGATTAGTCCATACAGCATTCTCAAGTTTTTCAGCGTGACGGCGAGCTTGATGGTTGTAATTATCGGGGTTATCAAAGGGAACGGCTGGTACCGGATGAACTTCGGCACCTATTACTCATATAAATTGTTGATCAGAAAGAAACATCTATATTCAAAAAATTGAATCCCATTAGATTTTGCTTTAATTCTTTTATTACCAAGCATCCTCAAAAGATCAATTTTTTCTTGACTTTGCGTATTTGGCATATAAATAA